AACATTACATATTCGCTAAAGGGGGTAGGTTGAGGTGTGTCTGAGGTATATATATGTATATAGTGTTGGAGAAAGGCATCCTCCCTGAGGTACTCCTCTCTCGAGATTAAACATAGTTCCCATAAAGTATCCAATTTGAATTTGTGCTCTCCTATCATCTAAATAGTCACACAATATTCTTAGCAAATGTTCGTTAAGTCCCAATTTTAATATTTTATATTTTAAGCCTAAATGCCAAACTTTATCAACAGCCTTAGAAACGTCCCTTAAAATTATATTGATCTGGTTCCACCTTGCTTTTTTTCTATTGCCATTATTGTACCTATTGCCATTATTGTACCTATTGCCATTATTGTACCTATTGCCATTATTGTACCTATTGCCATTATTGTACCTATTGCAGTTAAGGTTTTTCTATTGGGCATACATCCATGTTGTCTATTGTTTGTTTCCCATGTTGTGTTAAAAATGTTATAAGTCTAGAATATCAAAAAATTTCCTGTAGTTTCTCGGTATTTTCTAAATAAATATATTTGCCTGTAGTTTAATATTTCCTTATTGCCCTTACCCTCCTTGGGAATAAATATAATTTTAGCATATTTTAGTTTGTCTGGAAAGTAACCCGTTATCAAGCATGCGCTATAGATGCTCAATAATATTTTTAAGATGTTTTCCTGTAGATTTATGATCATATTTCGTGTAATACCCGAGACTGGGGCCTTTTCTTTAAATGTCCTCAGGCAGTGCATCATTTCTTCCATAGTTATTATTTGATTATTAGGTAATAAGTTATAATCTATATACTGTATGTCGAGTGAGGCAAGGGGGTATTTATATGATTCTCCCTACTAAAGGTCCAGAGATGCAAGATGAAAGGCGCAGCTGATTGACTGAGGTGACGGCAGTATAACTGGCCAATCTGCGAGCGTCTCGGGGGCAGAAACTGTGGTCTGAAACTCGCTGCTGATTGGCTGAGGAGAAGACGAGAGATCAGTTGTAGGGGAGTGTCCACTACACCAGCATGAAGTGTTGGATATATTACATGTACGTACGTTGTGAGGCCAAATAAGAGACCCTGACAACCTGCCACAACAGTACGCTACAACAGGAAAGATGGTGCCTAGTGCATCGAAGCTACGACACTATTTATATGAACAGGATGATTTGCTATTGAACATCCTGGGTTTGTTTAAGATCACGCGTAAATTAAATGAAAAACGGACAAGGAAACATAGATGGTGATAGGTAGTACTTTTTTTTTACACGGGCATTAGCCCACCCGGGCACAGGTCATTTTTAATGACCCACATCAAGGCATGGGGGGGCGAAAATATAATATAATAATAATAATAATACTGTAGTAATGATAATAATAAAATTAATAAAATAAATAACAATTAAACCTGTATAATAAAAGAACATATTAATACTAATAAAAATTATAAGTAATAATAATAATAATGAGCCAGAAATACAAAAATTAAAAGAATATCAAGAATGAGAAATGATATATGTAAATTGTATATTGTGTTGTCAAAGTAAGAGAAACAATTGAAACTGCAATTGTGTGTAATTGAGGCAGAAAGTCAGATCAACAACACATTATGCTTCCAATATCTTCCCAGGCGGTGGTAGTACCTCCCTGTTTGATAGCTGCCAACTACCTACTACGTTAGTAAGTAGCTATCAAATAGGAGGTACTACCGCCTGGGAAGATATTGGAAGCACAATATATTGTCTAATGGTAGACCCTGCTGCCATGTGGATGGCATCACAAAAATTGTAACCAAGTCCCAGGTTGCTGATCTGACTCTGCCTCAATCGTTTCTCTTACTTTGACAACACAATACACATACAGTATATCATTTCTCACTCTTAATGGTTTTTTATTTTATTTATGGCTCTTATTATTATTATTTTTTTCTTCTATTATAATTGTTATTTATTTTATATATTTTTAATAATTTTATTACTTCTATTATTATCATCATCATCATCGTAATTATTATTATTATTTATATTTTCGCCCCGCAGGCCTTGATGTGGGGGACTAATGCCCGTAAAAAAAAAAAGAGGGTGGGTTCATAGATTGGTGCTGAATCGGACCACATACGGAGCCTACGGTACTCTGGTAAAAGACCTAAGTTGGGATGAAGAAAAATTCAAAGAATTTTTCGTCTGAGCGGACAACATTTCGCACATGTTCTTTCCCTGGTTGAGGAGGATTTGGTGAAGCAATGCAGGGTAAGTCATTTGCCCAACGCAACAATTTGCAATATGTATAAGGTGAGTCATGCTTATAAACAGGAAATAATAGGAACGGTAGATAAATATTAAGTGACACAAATTTTTTTTATTCCAGTGAACCTTTTATTAAGATTGTAGGGGTACGAGAGATTAATGTTGTCTAGCACTCAGGATGGAAGGAAACTCTAATGTGGTTTTCTTATATAATATAAGTTATATGATAGACAGTCTGGTGCTGGAGGTGCCGTGTGGTGAGGAGCTGCTCAGTAGAAGACGTTCGGTGATTAGCGTGTTGAAGGAGGTAGATGTGCAGGAGCTTCGTTAGAGAAGATGTTGCCTGTTGCTGGCCTCCTGGTTGAATGAATGTTGGACAGCGAGGAGCTTGCTGGAGGAGGTGTTGCTTGTTGTAGAAGAGAGACCAGAATGAGAAAGCTGGTTGGTGAGGAAGCTCAGAGAAGGACAGCTGGTGGGTCGCCATGCTCGCTGGCGGGAGCGAGGACCGCCAGGCAGGCGAGGAGGAGCGAAGGCAGCGGCGGAGGAGGAGGTGTTGTTTGTTCAAGAAGAATGGTCAGAATGAATCTCAATGGAGAGACAGAGCTTATATACCCAGCAGCAGCCGCTATGAGTCATGTTGGGAAAACCCGAGAAGTCGCCGGTCACTAGTTCCGTTGCTAAGATACGGTAACATCTGGTTGGTTGCTAGGGAAGGCGGTAGCAGGTGGTGGCTGTGGCTACGCAGTTGTAGGGGAGACGTCCACTACAAGATCATGAACCTTCATTTTAGAACGGTTGTGTCAAAAATGTATGGTTCTCGTAAAATGATATATAACGGTTTTTAAATGTATTATGTAAATGCATTGCAAAAATAAGTTTGGATATATTCTGAGTGAAATCAACTTCTTGGTCTCCTCGAGAGAAAACTTTTTTCCCCAAGGCATTTTGTTGGGTGGGGAGAGCAAACACAGGGATAGTGACGTCACTGTGTGGGGTCCCCGCGTACATTTCAATGTGATCTATTTTTGGCGTTACCGCTAACGCGTGAATGGAATCCTAGTTTTAAGAGAGATTTGGGTAGTCCACTGGCGTAGCACCAGAAAAGTTTTTTCCGAAAAAATATCTCCTTCTCTTGGAAAATATGATGTGCGCGTGATAAGCCTACTCCATGAAGCGGTACAGTTTTCAGCCATGTGAGGCAGGGTGGTATTGAATCGCAGGGTCCTTGCCGTATAGTGGGTCCGTCTAGCTGGCCTCTAACCGTAAACTCGTCCTTCGTGTTTTCAATATAAAGTTGTTGTAATCAGGGGTACCTAGTGACAGGGTAGGATCCCGCTTCCTCTATCAACGAATAAATATTGAAATTGTTGTTGTAATCATGTATTTTTTTCATTCTTTTATGCAGGTAAGTATGATATAAAATGTTCCAAAATGCCTTGTTCGTTGTAACACATTGTGTTTTCTCTTGTGAATTGTTTTATTTCATTTAGTGATACAGTAATGAATTTGTTCTGGTTTTGTATAACACGATTGTTGCAGGTGTATTATGATATACGTGTTCCTCGCACTTAATGGATTCTTTGTATTACTTGTAAACTGTTATACTTGATGAGATAGATGATTGACAAACAGTATCTACAGTATGCCACGCTCATTTGACGATAAATTTGTCCCTCCCCTTGTCACCAACACTTCTTTTAGTTAGTGGGACCTTAATATTACCCACTACCTAGCGGAAAGGTGATTCAGCTTCACAAACGAATTCACTCACCTCCCGAAGAAGCGTTTAAAAAGGATTATTAATTTTCACAGGGAGTTTCAGGACGGTGGGGCTCCTCCCATACAAGATCTTGGAAATTTGCAAAATCAAATCTCGACCACTTCATTTGTTCTAAACTTTGCTACTTAACAGAGAAATTAGATAATTTCATTTGTGATTCCCTTCTATGTTGGTCTTCATATTTGGAAATTATAATATCAGATTGGAAAAGTACAGCAATGAAATCCAACGCACATTAAAATAAACTCATTTTAAAACAATTACACTTTCTATACCTAATGAAATCCTCTTCACCTTTTTTACGGGCACACAACGGGTCTGTGGGAGATGTAAGTGTGCATTGAAGCAGTACTGTTATTATAAAATTATGTTTATTTTTAATGTGTTTTTTTATTTCGAAGTTGACATTGGAGTTACTGAGCTCTCCAGGTACCCGAGTGAACATGCTTGGTGGGTGCCTGAAGGTTTGAAGTGCGGGGGGAAATAGACAATTAATACTAACAAGTAGGCATGGTGAAGAGGTGGTAATGATGATACCTCTTGAAATGCTAACGGTTTAAAATTATATTTCATCGAGACAGAACGTTGCCTGCCAGTGTATAAAACACATGTGAACATTACATTCAGTGGTGAAAAAAGAGACACACCTCTGGCATGTCACTTACAGGTGGATTGCATTGGCAGGGAAGCAGTTAAGTACCACTGTATTATGTAATACATTTATGAGTTATATAAAAGTGGGAGTAATTAAAGAGAGCTGTGCTAATGATAAGTGTAAACGTATGTATCATTTGAACTTAATTCGGCGACAAATTTCAATTAGAGTGAATATGAAGGTGATTTCATTAGGACTCGATAATTTTTGGGGGGTATTGTGGAAAAGTTAGATGTCCATTTTACTCGAGTTTGAAGTTGACTTATCAAAGTTAGAGCTCCAAACTGGTTGACTGTGGAAGAGATTTATTAGAAATATTTAAAAGGGAATTAAATTTGAGAGGTGGGAGTGGAAGGGCCCGTATCTCAGCCGGGTGCCAGTCAGTGGTAAACAGTGTCCAGGTGACTGCTGTACAACCTTCATGAAAACTTCCTATATAAAACAAGACCCATAAGAGGTAACTGATAAACCCCACTTATACAAATAACTGATGCCTATTATCCAACACATAACTGGTAAACATTAGATAATAAGTAGACTGGTAAGCTTCAGTTAGTGAGGTAAGTGTATTAACGTCAGGTAAACAGTTAATTGAGATGAAGGATAAAGGGTAAAGTACTCTAGTTAGTGAAACAAAGAGCACGAGGGTTTGGTAAAATGAAGTGTTGTTGGTTATTGTTCTATAAGTAAAGATTGAGTTAGGGAGTCATGAGGGTCACCTTTACTTTAGAATGTCACAGAACAATGTTGTCTACTGTTCTTATTCTCATTTGAATTTCTTGAGTAAAGCTCCAGACAGTACAAAAATACTTGTATGAACATTAACAGAAGATAACACATAAAGTATTAATAATATTTCTTCCAAACTCGTCTTACATGTGTGTGTTACTTTCTGTCAAGTGAAATTATAGTTTGGATACAGGTATAGGCAAGGGATATATCGGTACTTTTATTATTTTAAATACTTTGCAGTGATTCTCATGATCATCTTGTTGTAATGCAAATAAGCAACATTGATAAAATAGTTGTTTAAGCTATATTCTGCTAAGCTATTGTTCTGACAACTGTTTCTTAAAGATTAATGTTTGGATGTTATGGTACACTGTGGGCAGCTTTGATGTTGTAAATGGGAACAGTTAGTTGGCTGTACCTTACTGCCTTCAGCTCACTAGCAAAATTAAAAAAAAAAATTGAAGTACATCTGATTTTGGCAGGAATGGATTACTTACCAAGGTTAGTATTTGGTAGTGACCATGCAGGGAACATTATATTGATTCTTATACAGTAGTGTATTGGGAGATTGAGGAAAACATTCTTTACTCTACACCGTTTCCATCAGAAATTTATTTTTCAAGTAATTTTACTTTTTTTTTTTTACTTAAAACACATGGATATACTGGACATTGTTAACTTCTTACTCAGCCAATCAGTGGAAGCGTTGCTGTCATGTGAAGTTCAACCTGAACCTTACTAGTCCGGCAGGCTTGGGACCAGACCGGTGTCGGTAATACAGTACAGGAGCAGATGGCTAACACCAGAAGGAGTTGTTCGGTTTCCTTAATTTTTTCCACAAATGTTCTTTGGATGATAGTAAATAATAAAATTAATTATTGACCTTAAATATCCCTAAAAAAAATCTGACGTGTTGGTGCGTGTTGTCATCCACTCGTGGTTGTTTCCGTGCAACAACCGACCCGCTCGGTCCAAGCGTACTCTCACGACCACAAAAAAATTGAAATTACAACATGACGCTTCAAGAAAACTGCTTTCATTGGTACCACATTTAAAAGTAAGTACGTTCTGCTTAATATGGTAGGGCAAGGAGGTGGCAATATTGCAGTACACAGCAACCACAGAATTCTGGAAATTCACGACGCTCAGTCGATAGAACTATTTTTTATGATGATTTTCTTAAATTACATTCGGTTAAGTAACATTTTTTTGCATCAGATTCTTTGGTTGCTGTAATCTGCAATTTTACCTTAGGTTTGGTATGTTTCTTTAGTTGGTTAAGTCAGGTTCTATTAGGTTCTGTGCATTGTCATATTGTTTTTGTCACTTGCCATCGTCCAAAGAACATTTGTGGAAAGAATTAACAAAAACAAACAATGCGTTTTGGTGTTAGTCATCTGCTCCAGGATTACCAAATGAAAAATATTGTGTATATTCTATTAATAGATCTTATGTAAGCATATTTTGGAGTAAATTTTAGGCAAATAAAGCTAAATATCGAAGCACCAATCACTAGAAGTGAGCTGTGGCAGGTGTAAACAATGTTGATTATCGCGGGCTAAGCTGGACAAGCAGCAGTTTTGCAATCTAAAATCAAGGGCACCAGATACAAATTGTGCTGAACCATTGAAGCTGCCGACTATCGGATCCCGAACTTCTGAGATTCAACCTGTACAGAGCTCGTGCACTTACCTCGTTTTGGTCGGAAATTTATATTTTTGGAGGTATTTCAATTTCAGGTTTGGTTTCTTTATATTCCTTTGTTTTTTCTTTTGTATTATTGGTTTAGGTCAAGACCTTGTAGTTTCTTTGGTTAGGTAAGGTTAGACATATACAGTCTCATTCAAGATTCTTCAAACACTGTTGGAGACAGCTGGCAACTCAAGGCCGTTTGTTTACTGTAGTACGTAGTAAAAATTATGAATGAATGTAAAAGTTATCGGTGATTGGTTACTTAGTTCCCCGTTGCTTAATGGTTGGGCTTTGACATGCATTCATAATTTTTACTACTTACTATAGTAAACAAACGGCCTCGAGTTGCCAGCTGTCTCCAACAGTGTTCGAAGAAACTTGAACGAGACTGTATGTATACCTGTTGTCTCGTTAGGGTTGTCATAATCATTTGTCCGTTGTGTCATATTGTCTAGCAAAACAATTTACAGATACATTTTGTAGTGATTGTACATATTGTAGGTGATTTCACTGTAAAACGATAATGTTTTCTTAACTCAAGAAATTTACAAAAAGTGTATGAGAAATATACTGTATACTAAATGTCACATAATATCACTTTTACACTTTTTTATGGTACAGTACGGTGTCTTTTGTCTCCAGAAAGGTCTCCAAGATACAGTACTGTACACCTGCCATGTCCACCATGTTCCTTGTGGATATCGGCATTGGTTCTTTTCATAGATTTTTTTTTTTTAGAATATAATACAAATTATAACTAGTATTTTAGAAAGTTTAGGTTTGGTTTGCTAATATACATGAAGTATGTACTAAATATTGCTACATTCTATAATTTATGATTCATAAAAGGAACCAGTACTAACCTGCCTAACTAATCCTTATGTACCAAACCTAACTTAATCTAACCTTACCAAAATACCACCTAACCAAATCAAAACAAATTTAATGAATTTTTGTTTTTTATCCATTGTATAATACTGTACTGTACCTACATACACTCATTATAATAAAGATACAGTACCTGTAATACAATACAGTATGGAGTTGGATGTAGGTTGGCAGCAGTGTATCTGTTGAAACATATTAGCTGCTTGTCAATATTTGAACGGTTTCATGAGGTAAGAAAGTATTTATGTTTTATGGTGAAATGTCTTACAGTTGGTACCTAAGGTGTATAACTCGTCTAGTCTATGACAGGTAATTGGAGAAGACCATGGGTTTTGTAAAAGCATTTTATCAATGTTCCTCAGTTCACCCTTGCGTTTCTTCCTCTTCCAACACATATTTCCATTCTAGACATGAAAACTGGCACCAGAAAAAGCCTGTAAAGTTTCTGAGTAGTAACTAGTAAGACGGCTCTTCTGCATCATTTGTATTGTTACATAATTTTTTTTTTTTTTTTTTTTCATTCATGCACTCTTGGATATAAATTAGGTAGTGTGTTGTAAAGGATCCTCCTGGAAATAAGCACCTTACAGCTTTGTCAGCTATCCTTGGTTGGTTTATTCGGCTGGTGAGTTGTTTGTCTCACTTGGTTAGATATATACTGTACTATATATATATACAGTATATATATATATATATCATTATCCCAATAAAGCACGCTGACTTCTACATATAATCAACACCTCACCCCGCCAGGATTCGAACCCACCATTAGAGGTTCACAGCTCCATAAGCTCGTTGAACAGGCTTTGTGTGAAATATAACAGTCTAGGACTGCTTTTAGTGTCCTGGTGGCCCAGAGGTAGCGTTCCCCGGTCACAATTATAAGATCGTGGGTTTGAATCCTGGCGGGGTGAGGTGTTGATTATATGTAGAAGTCCTCGTGCTTTATTTCATACACTTTTTATCGAATCACCTGGAGTCTACCAAAATGTCAGTTTTTTCTGCCATGTTCTTAAGATGTCTGCATATTTGTGACACTGAATTTATATAATGAATTCAAACACATTCGTTCCATTGCACAAAAAGTTGGGTACCCTTCTGTGTTTGTTGATCGTTGTTTTAAAAGGGCTAAAAAAGCCTTTCATTCCTCTCAAACCAGGCAAATTCCTACACTTAAGAATATTTTGACTGCCCTATCGTAATGAATTTGTCCCGTTAGTTTGGTCCCTCAAACTACTAAATATTAATGCTGTTTTCAAGTATGAGTCAACCATTACCAATACATTAATAAAAAATAGCCCAAGTTTGAATGTAAATGGAAGTGTTTATTGTATTCCATGTAGCAAATGTAATGGTAATTATGTAGGACAGACAGGAAAAACATTGCAGCTCCAAATCAGACAACATAAGTACAATATCAGAACAGCATCTGAAAGCAGTGCCCTGTTCGTTCGTGTTAAGAATAATAATCCCATTGCTTGGGAAAAAAGCTTAGAAGTATTCAAATCATCTTGTGTCACAGAAAGACTTCTGGTTGAAGCTAGTTTAATTAGGGAATTAAAATCAGTAAACCTTAGTGATGGTCAGTTCAAAACTGATAATATGTTACATAAATTTATTTGTCAGTGGCCCAAGGTTAAAAATGCTTTGAAAACCTTTGATCTAGATGTATGATAGTTATTTTGTGTCCCTTATTTTTGACCTGACCTGACTAGTCACGTCACCCCCCTTCTCTTAAGCTCCTCTACGTGTGTGTTGGTGTGTGGATTAGTGGATGACATCATTATGACCTGACCTCATGTTTAATAGGGTCACCCTGTATATTTAAGCCTCTCTCTGTCCATGTAATCCAGTTGCCTCTGAAGATGTCTTGAATAAAGACGAAAGCTAAGGTGCTCCGTTGTTTCCCTTTTCCCGTGTGATTTTATCAATATATATATATACTGTGTATATATATATATATATATATATATATATATATATATATATATATATATATATATATATATATATATATATATATATATATATATATATATATATATATATATATATATATATATATATATATATATATATATATATATATATATATATATATATATAACATTAGATTACAGTACAGCAATTCACTAACAATGGGTGTGGATATGTTGTTGGTAAATATAACTGAAGGGAAAGTAAAACAGGATCCCTTTTAAAAGCAATTTTGTGATAGGTTTTAGAATTAAGCAACCATTAATGGTTTATACAGTACTGTTGTAATTTGTTTGAACAACTACAGTACAGTGGTCCCTCAGTTAACGAACGGTTCAGTTAATGAAATTTGGTTAGCGAATTACCTTCCATAAGAATCTTCAATTCGGTTAACGAACAAAAATCAGATTAACAAAATCCTTACGAACATCACGTTTTGTTGTGAGCATCAGCTGATGGGCTAGTCTGCCAATTCAGTAATCTGTTCTATGTTTACATTCGTTTCCAATGGAGTAAATATCAATAAAGTTGTGCTCTTTAATATTTTTGCATGTTTTATAGTAAAATTATTAGTCATTTTAACATTTATTTAATATATTGATAATGTATGCAGTACAGGGAACTAGTTTGTTGTTCGCCCATCAGATGCGTGAGTCGGTCACAAGGCATCAGTTGGGCTTTGAAAACGGTGGAGAGAGCATCTATTTTGTTGGTGTCTTGAATATTTTTGCTTTTTTCATTGAAATTATTGGTCATTCTGAACTTTAGTTATCATATTGATAATATATAGTGCAGTGCAGTGTTGATTAAAAGAAAATAATCTTGAATTACACCTAGTGAACTTAAAGTTTTATTGGTGAAATGACGGCATCAAGCATGGGTCCCCTGAAACGTGATTTCTCCTCCATCCCCACTTCCTTCTCTTCTTCCTTCTCCTCCACCCCCACTTCTAATTCCCATCATCATCATCAACCTGGAACTTTCTACATACACACCTCAAAGTAAGTGTACGTTACTGCATTTTTTTTATTTATTTTTTTTATACTTTTTATATACTTTTTGGTGAGCTGGAACCAATTACCCAATCTCCCATTGAAACAATGGATTCGGTTAACGAATGACCTTCTGGAACGAATTGTGTTAGTTAACCGAGGGACCACTGTACTGTGTTAATGTAATTAACCCATTTCTATAAATACTTCTGCCTATAAGACGGGCTAATACAGGGGTGGGTTAGGTTAGCTTTAGGAGGTTTAATCATCAAGTGAAATAAACTGGCGGCTAATCTTTACATGATTCAAGTATTCTTCACAAAATATTACATATATTGTAATGCAAGTTTCCTTCAGAATTCTTGATTATTTACTTGTCTCTTTTATCTTGCTAACCTATACACTACTATACTGTACTCTGTGGTTATAGGCTGAGGTTACAGAGCTGGATTTAGGTCCTGAAATCTCAGAGCTAAGGCTTAGTATATGCAGGAATCCTAACTTTAAAACAAAATGATCTTATCTGTATTGTGGTCAGTATAGTGATGTATCTCTAGATGGCAGAGTTAGAAGAAAAAGCAAGCAGCACAAGTGAGCGTCTACGAGAGGAATATCGCAGACACGTGCAGACACAGATTTCTCATGATCTCGTGGATACAATCGCCACATTGGAGCAACACCAAGAGCACCTACTGCAGTTGTGCGAACAGCTTAAACTGGCCAAGAAACAGGTAGAGAACAACAAATACTGTACTGTACTGTATTGCTTTCCTGTTTTTGTTTCATTTTACACTGGTAATGACTGAGCAAATCTTTTATCGTAATGTTAAAGAGACCTAATTTCCTCTATGAATTTGTCCTTGGTAGGTAATAAGGGAAATATACCTATTGTAATTTTAGAAGTGATTTACAGTAACTTTTATCTCACTTCCCTAAGAGGTCATCACACAGGTTGGCACTGACAGAAGAGCCTTCTGTCTGCACTCTTACTGTATATAACTTTGTTATTTATTATTATTTTATTTTATTTGTTTATTTATTTATTTTTTCCTTCACTATTCCCTTTAAACCCTACTCTATTCTTTCCATCATGTATTGATCCATTTCTCCCTCCTAGGACTCATACTAGCTGCTTCAACCTGACAACCAGTTCATCACCTGTCCTGGCATCCATCTGAAGTGTCCATAACACTTTTTTTTTTCTTTGTCATCTGTGTGATACTTCCTGGGTAGTACACATGTGTATTCTCAGAAGGGCAAGATAATTGACAGGTGACCCATAATTGACTAATACACCATGAATAAAAAAAAAACTACTTCATGGTTTCGGTGTTTAAAAAGAGATGAGTGTATGCCCTTCTAACATACAATAACTCAAAGTTGGGTTAAAAGTTTTAAATTATACTATTCCATCCTCCATCATTTATCTTTACAGTGATTCCTGGTGCCTCTCATCACTATTCCTTTTACAGTACAGTATTATTATTATTATTATTATTATTATTAGGTACTCCCCGACTTACGACCGACTCGACTTACGTCCACCCGCACTTACGACTGCCTCAGTCGTACCAAAATGTGGTCAAATTATGTATTTTTGAGTCCCAAAGTCAGTACACAGACAAAATTTTCATCTGTAATTCACTTTCAAATGGCTGGCAAGCTTAAAAGTGAGTGTTTTGTGGTGCTGAGAAGAAAAGGAGACCCATATTTTCAATTTTCTATGTGTTATTTAAGCATTTCCGACTTAAAACCTGGATGTCGGTCCCTAACCCCGTCGTAAGTCGGGGAGTACCTGTATTATATTTATTGTATTATGCTGCTAGGGTAAGAGCAAGAATAAATACTATTAACATGAAACAAGAACAGACTACAAGCTAGGTGGTACTTTACACCCTTGAGAAGAAAATAAAAATCTTTGTTTAGTATATCCCTACTGAACATTTCATCAAAGACACTTATTGATGATGATACACTGTAAGTCTCTTTTTGCATAATCTTGTTTTCCATATTGGCCTTCAGTATCAACTTTCTTGCCTCCCATTTTTATTTTTTGATGTTACAGTATATGGCTCAGTCTTCAGCAAGTAACATTCCCTTTAAGTGTTTACATCCTGTAAAGTAACGTACTGCAGCAGGATGTGAGACCCGACTCATTACTGTCACTGTAACATCATTGTTTTATACGATAAGAGTATCTTGAGATTTTTCTGGACTAGTTTACATTTCCGACTTTCAGGTGGCCCAAGGTCATTACTGAGATTTATATAAATTTGATGAGAAAAATTACATAGGGTAGTTAGGTAATGGCTGTGTCTGAGGACCCAGGCAGTCCCCAGACCTGTAAATTTTCAGGATCTTCAAAATTTTTTCCAAAAAAGCCTTGTATCTCAGCCCCTTGTGGTTTCAGTGAGTAGAACTTAGGGCTTAAACACTATTTAAAAAGATTTGTAAACTGGATCAGTCTTTTTATCAACAATATCTTGGAGATAATTTGTGAACTCTTATCCATCACTTTAAAAGTTTATTTTGCTTTATTTCTTTTATTTTTTTACCAGACTTCACCCAAACCTTTTCAAATCTCCAACTACAACCTTTATACCTCTTTCCATTCTAAGGGAGGTGTATGCACCTAATGCAACACACGTACACCTATAGCTCAACTCACGGATCTTGAATCTTCTCTTTATGATGTCATCTGGCTCAAAATATCTCGACCAACTATGATTATTTTCTTTGTTTCCTATACTGTTCTCCCAATTCTACCAGCAATTTGGAACTCTTTGACTATCTCACTTCTTGCCATGAGTCATTGCTATCCACACACCCCAACACCGAGATCCTCTACGTAGGGGACTTCAATGTACATCACAGAGAGTGGCTTGACTCTGCAAGGGATGACCCAGGTGGAGCTGAGGCACTCATTTTTTCCTTATTTAATGATCTGGAACAAATAATTAAACACCCTACACGTTCTCCTGGTCGACACGATCAACTTACAAACATTCTTGACCTTTGTTTTACCTCTAACCCCTCACACTATTTATACTCAATTTCTGCCCCCTTAGGGTCTTCTGATCACAATCTCATTTCTATTCAATCAAACCGGGCATGACCACCTCCCCCATCCCCCTCTAAACGCCATCTATGGCACTATCGGAGGGCAAACTGGCAATCCTTGTGAGAATTCTTCTCTCACTTTCCTTGGGATGAATATTACTCTTCCATTCGGGATGCCTTGGTATGTGATGGGTTATACAGGGTGGTATGAGTGCATATATCCCATCTACCAAAACTTTCATGGTAGGGCCAAGCGGAATTTTATAAAAAGAAAGACCGTTGTCCTGACTAACTCTTCCTCTACTAAATCCTTCTGGTCCTTAACCAAAAACGTCTGTAATAACTTCTGCACTCCCTCTTTTCCTCCTCTCTTCTGACCTGACAACTCTATAGCCAACTCTCCCCCTGATAAAGCCAATCTCTTTGGCACCTTATTCTCGTCTAATTCCACCTTAGACAATTTCAATTCTATCCCTCTTATGGTTTCTCTCTCCTCCTTTAGTTGACATTATTTCTTCCCTTTCTGTTTGCCGCAATGTTGCTTCACTCTCTCTCTTTTACAGTTACTTCAACGGGCAATGGTTGGTGGATTTGGCATCCTGTGTACCGCCGGCAAGGCCGTGGGCTCGTAATGCACGTCTTGCCCGCGCTGCCCACCGTTTCTCTGTGGATGTCAGTCACACTAGAATAACCCATTATAGTACATCCTTCTTTCTTCACACATCCTTTTTTGTGTGTTTCCATACTCAAACAAACTGTCTCACTTCAAAAAAATGGTTTTCCAGTATCTTCGTGGTGTAGATTAATATAATCTTTTCTTTTCTTTTTTTAATTTCTTTTGCTCCTATTTTTTCGCCCCCTAGGCCCCGTTGTGGTTCGATGACCTGTGCCAGGGTGGGCTATTCCCCGTAAAAAAAAAAAATCGCCAATGCTTTTTGTATATATGTTTACAGCTTGAGTTTTCTTCTCAGGTGACAAACAGTTCATCGGACACAAAGGCAACAATCAACACAGTGTTTGACAGTTTTATTGCTGCTGTGAATGAAAGTGTAAATAAGAGGCGCCAAAACCTCTTGGATGAAGTGCAGGAGGTAAGCAAGCCTGAAACTGAAATGGATAATCTTTCAAGAGGATAGTGAATGTAAAATATTTTTTTACAAAGGGGTAGTAAATATAATTAACATATTGTCTTGCAAAACAGGTTGGTTAAGTGAAAAATATTTTCTAACATAGGGGTTGTAAGTTTAAATTTTTTTTTTACAAAGATGTGAATGTAAATTATTATTATAAATGCAATTTAGTCTTTACATTGTCCAGATTTGCCCTCTTTTAGATCACTTTATAAATGTTCCACTTGTAATGTACAGAACAAGTCTACAAGTCATCACATGTTTTATTTATGTATCTGATTTGACTCGGTGAATCCATTCTTTTTATGAGTCGACATTGTACTTACCCCATAATGATATGACTCCTGAAAGGTTACCAGGATGCCATTTCATTATTTTCACCATTAAATGCATAACCTGTGCCATGAACTGGCTGTGAAAAGTCCACATTTAAGGATATACTATGGGTATTGTGGCTTAAATCTCACGTGAAGGAATTAAGAGAAAATATTGACAAAATACTGAACTGCAAACTGCATGAATAGAAATGACGTAGGGTTCACATATGTCTTGAAAAATAGTATTTGAAGGTGTTGCAGGTATTATTGTACCAAAGTGTTGCAGCAGTAATGAGTCTTAGTAACTATAATGCTTCTTGGCAATCATGACTCACTATTTGTCTCCCTGGTGTAGGTTGAAGAAGAGGCCCGTGGCCCCTTAGACCAGTGTGGGTGTGTGTTGGAGACTCGGGTAAGGGAAGCTGCAGAGAGAATAGAGCAGGGAAAGCGACTTCAGAAACATGGAGGTGTCATGGCTAAGGACACAGTTATTAGATTTCAGGAGGAGGCAGCAGCTATGACCAGGTACAGTAGAGGACAATGTTGCTCGTCAAATACTTACTGTAAGTTGAAGAGTTTGAGATGTTGAATTTAGCTTTTGTCATTTAACCATTTTTGAAGTTCATAAAAAGCTTTGTTGTTTAAGATGACAAAACTTTTCATCTCCTCTAAATGGTTACAGTACTGAGTTTGTACAGTCACCAACAAAAGTCCTGTTGCCTCTGCTGCTCCACAAATCCGAGATTCTGGCTCATGAACCCAAAGCAGTAGACGCTGATACATTTTTCTGTTCATAAATGCTTCCAATTCATGATTCTGAATCCCGGGGTTTGTGGAGCAGCAGAAGATGCGACAGGACTTTTGTATGCAACTGTACAGGAGTAATTAACAGGTCACCAAGTCACCAAACTGAGAGAAAATACAGTATTGTATGTGGAAGGAAATGACAGACAGTTGAAATATTAACCAAAGAAATTCTGTAAGTCTTTGAAAAGAAAAAAGTGGAATGTTAAAATTGCAAAATAAAGATACAGTGGCCTCGTTAATCTAACTCAATCCGTTCCAGAAGGTCGTTAATTAACCGAAACGTTCGTTAACGAAACCATTGTTTCAATGGGTTTTTGGGTAATTGGTTCCAGCTCACCGAAAATTTCCTAAATTCAACAAAAATGGTAGAAAAGTTCACTTACTTTGAGGTGTGTATGTAGAAGGCTCCTGGATGATGATGATGATGATGGGATTTAGAATGGGGGTGGAGGAGAAGGAAGAAGAGAAGGCATTGGGGTGGAAGAGAAGTCACCCCATGGTGCCATTTCACCCATAAAATTTTAGCTCTCTGGTTTAATTCAAGATTATTTTCTTTAAATCAATGCTGCACTGCATTATATATTGTCAATATATAAAATATATTTCAAAATGACCAATAATTTGCTTGGAAACACAGAAAAAAAGCATTTAGTTGAAGAGAGTCTCAAGCAAGATGTTACCTCCAGTGAAAACAGAGAGAGACTGACGCCTGTTTGCTGTGTTAAGAGGCTGGATGCCGCGCATTAAACTAGTCACTTTACCTTCAATTTCGTTCAATAATTGTTAAAATGACTAAAAAATTGAATATTAAACTTTTAAAATTATTGAATAGTATAAACTTCTTGATATTTACAAAAATAGTAAGGAATTTAAGCCCTAGAACCGATTAATGTATTGGCGGACTGATACTAAAGCTGGTTGCCCGGTCAGTGCAAGCGAAAACATGTTGAGGTCGGTTCGTAAGAAGTTCGTTAAGCGAATTTTTTTTCGTTAACGAATTGAAGATCCTTATGGAAGGCAGTTCGTTAATCGAAATTACGTTAACCGAGGTGTTAGATTAAGCAGTCACTGTACTGTACCCTTGTATTGGTCTGAGTGCCCTCACATTTATGTAATTATACTATTAATGTAGCTACAGTTACTTATTTACTCTCAATTTTGTGTTTTATATCAAACTGTAAATATAGTTTTCCTTTTACATATTTATCATAAATCTTGGTACAATACAGTACACAATGTTTTCTTGTTTGAAGTTTTTTGTTTTCCATGTATATACAAATTCTTATGAGTTTTGCTATTAAATTACTTTTTTAATATTTATAATTGATTTAAAGGTAATGCAGATTGTACAGTAGCTTACAGCAGTGTTTTTTGTGGTAGTTTGCCTGAGGTTCCGGCTCTGTGTGCAGTACCTAGTGTTAGTGTTGAGTTCCCCGGTGAACCATCATTGATTGAAGAAGTGCAGGACCTGATTGATCAGGCAGGTCGGGTCTCAAGGATGGGTCCTGTGCAGATCACCAACATAGTGGAGCAGCCAGGTGCACTACTTGTATCCTGGGAGGAGGTCAGTTGGTCTCAGGTTCATACTAAGTCTAAGGACTGAAAAAATTTTCACTATCATGCTGTTTATCACTTTATCTCCCCTTAATTTCGTTTTTTCTTCCTCTACCACTTTTATCTGCCTTCTCATCCACTTTTACTTCCCATTTATGGTTTTTATGTCTTTTCATGTCTTTCTCTTAACTTCCTCCTGAAGCAATACAACAGTCTTTCAAAATCTCCTTCCCGCTACAGCCAATACCCAACTTGTACAGTACAGTACAGTACAGTACAGTATTTTTAACTTAACCACCCAAGATAATATAAATACTGTACAGTATTACTGTACTTTTGTTTGAATTTACTGCCACTAGCACTCATGGAAGTTATATTTGCACTTATTTTTACAAAAATTATGGAGGAAATTTATAAAGCTTGGGAGGCAGTTACCCAATAAGTAATAGTAAGATACTAACTGACTTTTGTGCAAGTAATGTGGTTGTAGAGTACTGGAAATGAGCTCCAGTTAATGAGGTTGCAGTGAGGATTTATTGTGTTTATTAGTTGTATTTGAAGATTACAGGAGTTCACAATACTGACATATACCGGTAGAATGAGAGTGGCATTTTTGACTGAAAAGAAATATTTAACATTATCATATACACTATACACGAGGTGGCTGACGGGAAGTGATCTTTGCTGAAGTGTCTCACACCCCTCCACACCAGCCAGCTGGGGCTGAGGCAGGCATTGTAAGTCTGGCAGCGAAGGGAGACTCAACGACAAGTCAGCCAGCAATCAAAATGTAAATTTTGTGAATGATGATGTATAACTATTCCCAAACATTACCTTTATTTATTGCCACAATGCTCGTTGATTCTTTGTTTTTACCACAATGGGCAAGAGGAAAGATTCAACAAAAGAGCAGATAGTGCCAATTATTAGTCTGCATAAGGGCAAGAAACCTGTAAAGGAAGTATCAAGAATTGTTGGTGTGAGTGAACGATCAGTTCAGATTTGGATTAAACAATTTCAAGATGACGGCAGGTTGGCAATACCAGTGCACAACGGACAGCCAGGGAAGACTCGAAAAACTTCGCAACGCACGTTAACTGTTCTTAAGAGGCAACTTGATGCTAATCCACGTCTGTCAGCACGGGAATTGAAAGAATAAACCCTGTACCTCTAGGTGATGTTTCTGTAAGGACCGTTCACTGCCACATCCGTGACGACCGGCAGTTTCGCAGCCACCGCGAACGCAAAAAGCCACTCCTCACCCTTGTCCAGCGGCAGCGTAGGGTCGCTTTTGCCAAGGCTAACGCTCAGTGTGATACGACCAAGTGGCAGCACGTGCTGTGGAGTGACGAGGCAACGTTTTCTTTTACTGGAAGTCTTACTTTTAATGTTCACAGGTGCCCCTGGAGTGATTCGCTTGACCCCAAGTTCACTTTTAGTACAGTTAAGCATACTCAGTTCACTAATGGTATGGGGTTGCTTCTCGTACTTTGGAACTGGTGATCTTGTGCTACCTAGGAATGTGATGATGAACCAATTTAACTACTTGGGGCTGTTTTATGATTATTTGCCCGGGTCTTTTGAAAAATGCCGCGCTGATGTGTTTATGCAGGATGGTACCTCTTGTCACACAGCAAAATATGTAATACAATGGCTTGTTGACTGTCTGGTAGACTTCATAAGTGATTGGCCAAGCAATTTGCCTGACCTTAAACCAATAGAAAATAAGTGGATCATTATCAAGTTTCGTCTACAAGGCAAGAACACAAATACCGTCCCCAAGCTGGAGGCAGCCATTCGTGAGGAGTGGAATTATTAAGACCCACAAATAATCCACAACTTGGCAGAGTCAGTTCCTTCATGCCTGCAGGATTGTATCAGGAGAAAAGGGAGGCCTATAGACTACCGGAAGTTTGTTAACTTTTCAGATTATTTTTTTATTATTATTTCATCTTGTTTATGTCCATCACTTCCCCGCGCATAATGCAATGGCGAGGAGTGTATGTATATACTGTACAGTCTCTCCTCGACTTATGGCGGGGTTCTGTCCCGACGACCAGGTCGTAAGTCGAAAAGGCTTGCCAGCCATTTTAATGGGAATTACAAACAAAAATTTTGTCACTACACAGCGCAATCACTAACGTCGGGACTCGAAAATACATAATGTGAAAAATATTTTATATACCATGGCCGTCGTATGTCCGGGTTGTCGTAAGTCGAGAAGAGACTTTATATACAGTGGTCCCTCGGTTCACGAGATTTCAGTTAACGAGCTGCCTCCCATTAGATTCTTAAATTCGGTTAACGAGTTTCTTACGAGCCGACCTCGACAAGTTTTGGCTTGCACTGGGCGGTCAACCAGCTGTAGTATTAGTCCGCCAATACATTAATCGGTTCTAGGGCTTAAATTCCTTACTATTTTAGTATACAGTATATCAAGAAGTTTATACTATTCAATAATTTTTAAAGTTTAATATTAAATTTTTTAGTCATTTTAACAATTATTGAACATAATTGAAGGTAAAGTGACTAGTTTAATGCGCGGCATCCAGCCTCTTAACACAGCAAACAGGCGTTAGTCTCTCTCTGTTTTCACTGAGGTAACATCTTGCTTGAGACTCTCTTCAACTAAACGCTTTTTTCTGTGTTTCCAAGCAAATTATTGGTCATTTTGAAATTTATTTTACATATTGACAATATATAGCTCAGTGCAGTGTTATTTTAAAGAAAATATTCTTTATTTACAACAAGTTTAACTTTGAAAAGCATGTGTTGACATTGTTTGAATCCAGCATGGGGCCTAAGAGATCAAGAAAAGCGATTTCAATCCAAACCAAGCAGGAAATCATAAAAAAACATGAACAAGGCATTAGAACAAATGCGCTATGCAAAGAATATGGCATGTCGACATCAACTGTGTCGACAATTCTTGCACAGAAAAAAAAATTTAAAGAAGTGAAAGTGAGAGACAAATCTACAAGTGTGTTTAAAAGTAGATCCCTAATTGCAGAAACTGAGAGGTTACTTATCATCTGGATTAGGGAAAAACAGATGAAAGGTGATTCAGTTTCTACTGAATTCATTTGTGAAAGAGCCAGGGAGATTTACGAACATTTAAAGACAGATCAACCTGGTTCTTCAGGCACAGAATTTGAAGATTTTCGGGCCAGCAAAGGCTGGTTCGAAAATTTTAAGAAAAGAAGTGACATTTTCAGTGTTGTTAGGCATGGTGAAGCTGCTAGTGCTGATAAGGAAGGGGCAGCAAAGTTTTAGATGAATTTAAAAAACTGACGGAAGAAGAAAATTATCTTCCACAGCAAGTGTTCAATGTGGACGAAACTGGGCTGTTCTGGAAAAAGATGCCCAAAAGAACATTCATCACCAGAGATGAAGCCTCTTTACCTGGGCATAAACCCATGAAAGACCGTCTCACTCGATTGCTTGGTGCCAATGCTTCAGGGGATTTCCGACTGAAGCCTATGTTTGTCTACCACTCTGAAAACCCCAGGGTGGTCAAGCAACAGAAAGTGGTAAGAACAAAGCTTGGAGTTTATTGGAAGTCCAACCATAAGGCATGGGTGACAAGACAGCTCTTTAATGAATGGGCTATTGATGTGTTTTGCCCTTCTGTCAAGAGCTACCTAACCACCAATAAACTCCCTTTAAAGGCTCTTCTCCTCATGGATAATGCTTCTGGTCATGACCCTGACCTTGCCAGAAATTTGGAGTATCAATTTGACTTTGTGAAAATGTTGTTTTTGCCTCCAAACACTACATCAATCATACAGCCAATGGACCAGAATGTGATCAGCAACTTCAAGAAGTTGTACATGAAGAAAATGTTTAGGAGGTGTCATCAGGCAACTTCCAATGATCCTGAACTAACACTGAAACATTTCTGGAAGACACAATTCAACATCCTGGAGGCTGTAAAATTGATTGTGTCATCATGGCAAGAAGTCTCCACTAGATCCCTCAATTCTTCATGGAAAGCACTGTGGCCATCAGTAGTCCATGATTTTGAGGGATTTGAGGAAGAAACAGAGTTGGACCAGGAGATTGTGTCCATTGGTCAGTCATTGGGCCTTGAAGTGGAGGAGGAGGATGTGGAAGAGCTTGTGATGTCTCATGAGGAGGAACTTACTCCTGATGACTTGAAGCAACTGGATGAGATGTTACAGGTAGAAGCTGACAGTGGTGAGGAGGAAATTGAAAGTGATGACCATATGTCAGCTAAACAGTTGAAAGATGTGATTTACTACTGGGAGAAGTTCAGGGAACTGGCTTCAAAGCACCCAGAAGTGGAAAAAACTGAACTAACTTTGTGTCATGTTGAGGACTCCGTGGTCTCCTTCTTTAAACATAAGTTAATGGTGAGGAGGACAGATGCCCCACAGACCACAATTGACACTTTCTTCAGTAAAAGGCAGAGGGAACAAGATGCTATCCCTCAGCCTTCCACTTCAAGAAGGAGAGAGGATGATCATGGTGGAGAATCTGTCAGTCCAGAGGTTCCTGACATTTTCATGGAAGGTGACTCACCTTCCAAGAAGCAGTAAAATGCTTCTCCTCCACCTCCACTTCCTTCTCTTCTCCCTTCTCCTCCTCCACCTCCCACTTCAAATTCACATCAGCATCATCATCCAGGAGCCTTCTACATACACACCTCAAAGTAAGTGAACTTTTCTACCATTTTGTTGAATTTAGGCAATTTTCGGTGAGCTGGAACCAATTACCCAAAAACCCATTGAAACATGGTTTCGGTTAACGAGCAACCTGCTGGAACGGATTGTGCTCGTTAACCGAGGGACCACTGTGTGTATATATATATATATATATATATATATATATATATATATATATATATATATATATATATATATATATATATATATATATATATATATATATATACATACATACATACATACATACATACATACATACATACATACATACATACATACATACGGAAAGTGAGAAACGCGTAAAGTGAACAACATAACATAT